CAGGTCTTTGACCTTCATTTTCGGCATACGCTCGGTATTGGTTTCGGGACACGTGGCAATAAAAGCTGTCAGGCTTCGAAGGCATGAGATGTGCATCGCGTATGTGTTGATGTGCATCGCTATGTGTTGCGAGGTCGGGTTGCCAAGGGCCGTCGCTTGGCTGGCGGCCGAGCGCGAGTCGCATCAGCAACCCCGTAGCACTTATCGACTTGGGGCATGGACATACGTACAGCGGCCGCGCGATTTCTTGCGCCACAGCGATCGGGGTGTTTGTCCCGGACGGCGGTCGGTTCCCCGGCACTCAACACAGCGAAGTATGTCACCGAAATGTAGAACCATCATCATCGTTGAATGGCTGTCGCCCTTGTGGATCGCGAACAGCCGCACGGCGGAGCCAGCGGCAAAGCAGCTAGCAGCCGAGGCGGCCGTTGTCTGTCCTGGCATGGACGGGGTGTCCTGACAGGTAGCAGGTGAAACAAGGACCTGCGTGGCTATGGCGCCTCACCGAGGAGGCATGCATGCAAATTTTTTCATCCACTGATTCACCTAAGGCGAGCCAGCATCTCATTGCCGGCGCGAGCCGGCGGTAACCGCTCCAGCGGTCAGCCTAACCAAACACGTGTGCCCGGCCTGCCGAACCTGACAGACCCAAAGCCACCGCTCAGCTGGTCTGAGACGTGTGCCTGGCCTGCCAAAGCTGACAGACTCGATCAGCCATTCTAGCAAGCCAGGCCCTGTCCTGGGCCAGGGATCCAACCCTAAGTCGAGCCGCGATTGGGCAGCCGGGAATGTCCAATGCTGTGCCAAAATACGGACATTCGGCTATGTGTGTGAGTGCGACATGTAGAACCGAGAGAGAGGTAGAATGCGACGCGCGCCCACGTAGAGCATCAGCATGCTCTAGGGGCTGCCGCCGCCAAGCGGCCGCCGCAGTCATCTAGGGCTCCTTACGGGCCCCACCCCCCCCCCAAGCGGCGTGGGGGTTGTTGCGGTCGCCCAGGACCGACTGCGCACCGTTGCAAGCCACTGCAGGATGTCCTGATCGACACTTTCCCTTCGTGGCAAACTTCGCCGGCTCTGTTTCATCTGGGCCGGCGCTTCACCTTTTTGCATCCACTGGTTGGCAACATGAGCGAACGCCCGGAAGACTCCCAGTGGCAGGTGGCGGATTTCCTCCCCATCCGCAGTTCTCATTGGGGGAAGGAAGATCTACGAGATCCTGTCGCAAGCCGTGAGTGAGAGTTGCTGGCAGGCGACCTGCTTCTATGACTGACTCCGTGGTCCGCCCTTGGGTCGTGATCAGGCAGTGAGCTTGCGTGCAGCCATCGACCGACGGCGGAGTCATCGGACATGAGCCTGTGCCGCCAAGCGGCTATTCGGAGCTTTTTGGCTCTGTCTTCCTCCTTTGCAAGAACCGTTTTAAGGTCCTTAGTTTCCTGTTCAAGTTGGTCCAACCGAATTTGTCAACCAACGCCCTCGTGTTGAGCTGTTCTTGGTGGGTGGCAGCCCCCATGCCCTGCCTGAGCTCACACAGCCGAGCCTTTTCCGCATTTTGCGTGTCCGCATATTGCCGTTCTCCAGCCGTGGCCCTTTACAAGCCTGAGCTTCCCACTTGACGGCGACGTGGTTGGAAGGTCCTGCGTAGCACCGAAGGAAACTGATCCCAGTTGTCCTGAACACTTCGACCTTTCCAAGGTAAACTGTTCCTCCCAGTTTCCGTCTTCCCAGGCTTGAGCCAGGCCATCTCTCCACGCTGGCAGATCGGTGCTAGGTGGCAGGCAAGTTAACTGTACAAGGCAAGACTCCAACCTTGTTGGTGGTCTGCGGAGCTCGGATTGTGACTTGTGATCGCTGAGTCTCTCTTTTCCCACCTGAACTTCTCCAACCTCCTGTTTCTGTTGGTCAACGTCTAGTCGATTTCCCGATTACCCTCCCAGCGCGTGGCGTGGCCACATCCATTCCCATTTGCAGGACCGTGCTTTCGTCGGGGGTTTCGTTTGAAGTCCCGCATGAGACAAGGTTGGCTGACGTAAACGTTTTCAGCCGTGAAAAAATCACAAATGGTTCCTAATTGCGTGGGTCCGTCCTCACAAGGGTGAACGTAACTGTTAAGAATAAGCCACCCCTGGACCAAAACCCCAAGGAGCTGGGCGTCGTCCTCAGTTCGGCCGTGCGCCGGCCGTTGTCTAAGGTCATTGCGAACCAAAGTGACGAGCCGCCGGCTTGCCTGCGAACAGGGCGAGGCGGGGCGACGTAGCCACAGTAGCCTTGTCGGCTCCAGTGTTTTAGGAACCCTCTCTTAGCGGCAGCACCTTTCCGTTTCAGAGCCTGATCCTTTTGAATCTTCTCAGCTTTCAACGCCCAAGACACGGCCTGGCTTCTGCTTGCCTTACCAGCGAGTTCCCCTTTGACGAGTTTCCTCGCCTTTCGTTTCTCCGCTCTAAGAGCACTGCCGGTCTGCTGATCGACCTGAAGCAACCAGTTCATGTCATCCTCAGTT